TCTTTCATTCACTGAGAATTTTTATCCCAAGACCCTGGCATGGCCCCTGGCTCTGCAGAGAATGCCTCCGGACCCAGGCCAGGGTTTCCGATTCCAATTCCAAGGCACCTCAAATTTTACACCTCACACAAATCGTAAGCATTTAGATCCTCTCTGACCATGGATCACCTTGTATATACATCTTTTGATAGCGTGACACTTTCTAGCTGTACACTTGTCTGACAAGTGCAGTATACAGGAAAAGCAGGTATACAGTCCAGGACTGAAGGTCAGTGAACTGCAGAGAAGGTTTCATACTGCCAGACCTGCGACCTGGTAGCAAAAGTCTTTTATATTACATCCTCAAGCAGAGTGCAAGATGAACAGGACTCAGTTTCACAAGCAGTGATAAAGGTCGACTTCAATTAATATTGAACCAGCAAAGAACAAGAAAAATCCAACAGTAAGACCATCCTAAGATTCTTAAGAGAAAATAATAACTTTGACTATTTACTTTGCCTTTCAAAATCAATGCCAATAAAGAAGAGCTATGTAGTAACAAGCCAAAAACCATTTGCATCAAAAGCCAATGTCTCTACATCTCTACAACTTATGAAGTAAATTTTGAGGCAGGAAGAGAGGGGGAAGAACAGGAAGGATTTGGCACATATGAAGTAGAAAAGTTTCATCAGAACAGTTGTTCCTCTCATAAATGTTCTTAATTATGTCTAATTGCAATTCATATTAGTGTTGTCATGTTGGTCTTCTCTTCTACCAAGTATGGCACCATACAATACAAATATTGTATTTTCTTTCCCCCTGTTCTGAGGAAGAAAAGCAGTGACAACTTTTTATGCCTTGATTTTAAGCCATGGTTCTAATGGGGCAACTCTCAATATCACTATGAAACTCCACCAAAGTCACTGCTTTTAAACGCAGAGATTCTAGTTTTCTCAGCACTTTCTTTCCTTTCATTAGGCTGAAGGGTAAGTCAGCTCCAGAAAGCATCAAAGCCACAAAAATCAGAAAATGTCTCTGTTGCACACAAGGCCTGAGCACATTGTCAAAGAAGATCGACTTGTATCTTTAACAAACCGCCTGGAAACTGGAGGCTTAGATCCCCCAGCCTAAGAAAACCAATCCAAAAAAATCTTACTGACTGGCTTTGGTTTGGTCCTGGGACAGTGAACATAAAGGGTTTTCTTGAGAAGCTGAAGCAGAATGTGTTTGAATATCTTGTGATCAACTGCCATCCAAATATAGACACCAAATATATGGAAACATCCACCGAACAGTTTATAATTTAAGTATGAGTAGCTTTCCAGTTATGTATGTCTATCAACTGGAGCACACATGCTTTTGCCCGCTTTGGCTTCAATAGGAATTTTGCCTCTGGCTTCAGCTGAAGGAAGAATACGTCCTGAAAATTTGCAGTCTATGATAAAATCCAAGGGCTTAATCTCTGCTTTGAAGCACACTGCCCAGTTTAAATTTAATCTCATTAGGATCAAAATTTCCTTGCCTTTCAAACAATCAAGTTTGGTTAGTGAAGTATCCTTGACCATAAGCCACTTTCATTACCTGAAGGGTATTTTTGTTTTATCACTCTAAAATATATTTACATTCATCTGTGTCTACATACAAGTGAATAATGTGTCCTTACTATTCTTCTTTCCATCCCACCACCGGAGCAGTCTGCAAATGCTAGCAGGGTCAGCTGAACTCTAGCCATCCCAGGACTATGAAGGGAAATGGCACTGCGTTGGCCAGTTTGTTTACTACAGCCAAAAGGAGCAGGTAGCATCGCTCCCCGGCTGCCAAGAAGCCTAACCTCACCCTGAGGGCACTCTCCTGGAAGCCAGGCGCTGTCGGTTTGAGTATACCCTCAGCCTCAGGGCATAACCGAACCTACAGCTGAACTTCATACTGGACCAGTTCCTAAGACACCGGCATGGGAATCCTGTGTAGCTGTTTTTGCTAGCAAATGCTAACTAAACTTTTCCAACCTCCGCTGAGGTCAGATACAGCCTTTACTACTTAACAGCAATCAGAGTATGGTAGAATGTAACCAAAGGGATAAGAACTATTTTTC